ACTTTACGCAATGATCCTAACTCATCAATTGGTAATTCCATTAGATTCACCAAGAACATAGCCCTTGGAATCTTTATTAATTGCTTACTACTTTTCCACTCACACTTGTACCATGACCTATTAAGGTTTACGGCTATCATTTTACTCAAGATTGGTTCTACATGAATTCCTCTAGCTCTAGCCAACCTTTTACTAATGTATGAGTGCATAGGTAAAGGGTCAACTAATACAAATACAAGCTCATCAAAAGATGAAAAGTACCTGTTAAAATTTATGGATCCTCCCGATCCTCCTTGGTCGTAATATTATAGATTCTGGCGACTCCACGAGTCTCTTGTCGCTAAAATGATTCATCTCATCCCCTTGATCTTCCACCTCCTCTGTTTCTATTAAAGGTTGCCATAGATCTTTCAGATTGCACTACATTGTCCCCAGATTTCTTTGGACAATTTCTGGAAAAGTTACCGGTTTCACCACATTGGAAGCAAGCTCCACTAAGAAGTCTGCATACTCCCCGGTGCACTCTTACACATGTCTGATATACAATTCTTTCTCCAACTACTCTACCTGAGCTAGCAGTAACCGACTGGGACTGTTTTGTTTTTTTGTAAAATTATAGTAGAACCCTCTTTGTCCGAATCTCTCAAACTTGAGCCCTTGTCTCTTTTAACATAATGGGGAGTTAAAGGCTTTCCAACCCTTTTTCCCCATCTATAAACTATGTTCCGCTGCTAATGTCTCTTATTGAGCTCTCTCGATAGCTTTGGCTAGGTTAATAACTTCTTGCAAGTTAGGCAAACTCAAAGCCAATACCATTTCTTTTAATTTTAGCTTCAACCCCTCAATAAACCAATCGCGTCGGCCTTATCATTTGGAACTACCTCCGTAGCAAAACGGCTCAACTTATTATACTTAGTCTCGTACTTGTGTACTGCTCGATCACTTTGTTCTCAAATTCTTCCAGGAAGAATTGTCAGGTCACTTGCTCCGGTGGTGCATACATCGTAGTATTTGGCCACCAAACTCGAGCTGATCCTCTAAGTAAAGATACAACTCCATCCAACTTTTCTATATCCGAACAGTGAAGATTTTCAAGCATTATTATAACATCATTCAACCATAAGTCAGTCTCCAAAGGACCTTCACTCTCTTCTCCCCGAAAATCTAGAGCTCCCAAGCTCTTCACCTCTTTTGGAATCAACATTCTCGGTGTTTGAAAAGTAGGGGTATGCAGAGGAGGTTGGAAACGGGTCAATATAGCATCGAGAGCTTGCATAAAAGCTCCATACTCTGGTACCAACATCTCTTGATATGGGATCGACTAATCACTATTAGCCTCGTAACTTTCGCTACCAGTTACTTCTCTCATCTATAATTCCCTCGCTCTACTCGAGTTAGAGGATTCTGACATCTATTAGAACATACATAGTAATAACATTTAAGTTAGTAAAGAGTGTCATCAATTTCACTACCATATCAGTAACCTTGACAATCTTAATGACATGTAATTTCCTTTTTCTTATTTCAATTGAACTCAGTTTTGGCCGAGAATCGGCTAAACCTGTAGCTTTGATACCAATAAATGTAACACCCATATCCCGTATACCTTTCTGTACACGAGATACAGATGTGACATCACTTTATAAAACTATTTGAAACCCGTAAAAATTTGTTTCAATTTGATCAAATACAAAATATGATATTTATAAAAGCAACATACTAAAACTATCAATTAAGTAAATTGTAAAATATTTACTATAATTTAATTACATGCCAATTCAGTTCTTAGATGAATAAGATTGTCATAATGTTACTAATGTGTCCACCTTTCATTGATGAAAACTACTGCTACTGCTACACTCCCTACGCCACTAATCTTTGCCTTTACCTACGTGTGAAATAAACACACATTAAGTATTTACTTAGTGAGACATAATATTGCATGAATATTACAAATTACACAACAATATCATATGAATATTAAATGAAGAATTTAATTTCATCATTCATAAGGACCAATTAAGCCCTTATCAATTAAACTATAATTCTTTCATACCATCTTGGAAATTATTTCTATTATGTCCATTATACTTATCCTTCTATATATTTCCCCTTTATTCTTTATTTTCCCTATGTACGTTAAATGTGAAAGTACTATACATGTATTATACCAATGTGCTAATTGATCATGTATCTTTTATAACCATTATGGCAGCACCATAGATATTGTTAATACACCATTTTGTATTTTCATTTGGGTATCCTTTCATGCACATTATGTTTTGTTCACGTTTTTTTTTATAACATCCTTGCATAATAGTTATGCATTGTTGTACCATATATATATATATCATCCCTTCATATCACTTATATGTCATTCATATCATATCATATCACATTACATTATAATTATTTTATTCTTTTACCCAAAGGTATTTAGCTTTTCACTTAACTTACATATTTGACATTTTTCTGTCCAAGGCATAGCTAGTCTATTATTCTTTTACTCAACAATGCTTAACCATTTAGCTAACCGGCATAATTGACACCTTTCTGCCAATTGCACAGTTATGACATTATCTTTTTACCCAACAGTGCTTAACCATTTAGTTAACCGGCATAATTGACACATTTTTTCCAATTGCACAGTTAGGCCAATATCCTTTTACTCAACGGTATTTAACCGTTCATTTAACTGGAATCATTGACACATTTTTGATAATTGCACAGTTAGGCCATTATCCTTTTACTTAACAGTATTTAATCGTTCATCTAACTGGCATAATTGACACCTTTCTGCCAATTGCACAGTTAAGCTATTATCCTTTTATTTTGGACTAGTTTCTACTCTAATAATTATTTATAAACCTTATACATTTGTACTCTTAGTACTAACATGGTAATTTACCAATTTCCTATTCATGTTCATTTATTAAGGTGCACATGTAGTTCATCAACTCATGATGAATTCCGTGAATTTGCACACATAGTGCATGTACGGTTATTCATCAACTCATGATGAATTCCGTGGAATGCACACTTAGTGTATGTACGGTTATTCATCAACTCATGATGAATTCCGTGGAATGCACACTTAGTGCATGTACGGTTATTCATCAACTCATGATGAATTCCGTGGAATGCACACATAGTGTCTGTACGGTTATTCATCAACTCATGATGAATTCCGTGAAATGCACACTTAGTGCCTGTACAATTATTCATCAACTCATGTTGAATTCCGTGGATTTGCACACATAGTGCCTGTACGATTATTCATCAACTCATGATGAATTCCGTGGAATTCAAACTTAGTGCATGTACGGTTATTCATCAACTCATGATGAATTCCGTGGATCTGCACACATAGTGCATGTACGGTTTATTCATCAACTCATGATGAATTCTGTGGAATTCACACTTAGTGCCTGTACGGTTATTCATCAACTCATGATGAATTCCGTGGATTTGCACACATAGTGCATGTACGGTTATTCATCAACTCATGATGAATTCCGTGGAATGCACACCTAGTGCCGTTTGGTAATCACCATACTTACATTAATAAATCATACAACTATGACTACCATGACATGTACATACATAATTAAATGCACTCACCTGGATTGTCTCGTTATTATACCCAAAATGCAAAGCTGATCACTCTGGTACTTTGCCTTTAGTTTGCTTGACTCAGGAGCTTGATTTCGATCTACTAAACAATCCATAAATACATGTACAATATCAATTGTTGGTATGTTACCTAACAATTATACTCAAAAATTATTCAAGAGTACATATTATTAACCTTCTATAATAATATCAACCTATTTTTAACATTTCTGGTTCACTAGTATCGATACCCCCATCATGGTATCGGTACTACTATGTTATGGTATCGATACTCTATCACGGTACCGATACCATTTTTGCATTCGATGTTCAATGGTATCGATACCATCCTTATGGTATCGATACTCCCTTCTTGGTATCGATACCACTTGAATAGGTATCGATACTCCCCTCTTGGTATCGATACCACTTGAATAGGTATCGATACACCCCTCTTGGTATCGATACCACTTGAATAGGTATCGATACTACTCAACAGATTCTATTAGTTGCAAGCCTATAGTATCAATATTGTTCTATCAGTACCGATACCCGTGCCCAGAATTTCCAATTCCCAGAATTTCCAATTTTTAGCCCGAATATCACCCAAATGGGGTCTAATTTCGGTATGTTTACACCATACAATACGATTAAGCTATTATTTACCTATCCATACTAACTTTCTTTCATTTAATTTCTTAAAACATCTAAACTCTTCCACGAACATTCAATTCTAATAATCATACCTCTTTTTCTAGTATGTTATTAATCTTATCCAATGCTTCTAATCTTTCATTTACTTCTTTGACAAGTCAATTTTACCAATAAACATAAATAAATACTCATATAATAACATATCGTTTTAAAACTCATTTTCTTTAATCTCTTATATTTCCTCTATTTCATATTTTAATCTCATATAACATTTCCTTAAGCTTACCTATTACTTAAAGGTTGCAAGAATCAACCAAAATCAACCGAAAACATGAGCTAGATGAAGCTTACCTTAAACCATGGAGGAGCACTCTCACCCACGGGAAGAAGAAGAAGAAGAGAAATAAGTTTTTTCCTTTCCTCTTTTCTTAAATCTCTAATTTAAATGGGTTTTAAATTCATTTCACCTAAAAGACCAAAATGTCCTTTCAATAAACTATCTCTTACAAATTGATCTTACTTAAGTCATTTCTTATACTTTACCAATTACTCAATTTAGTCCTCCAAATTTTTAATTCCTTTCAAGTCAATCACTGACCTATTATTTGAGGTATTACACTATCAGCACTTCAAAATTCATATTAAAAAATATTAAAATAAATTTATCCATATCCAATATGATAACTTCTAGTTATGACTTTTTTTCCTCAGTATAAAGGGTTAAAAACAATGCTGAAAAGAAAATAGCAAAATGTGTTTGCTGCATGCATGAATAAAGAAAGGATCAGCATGCAAAGCATGTTTGATTCACTTTTCTTTCTAAGTCTTTACATCCTTCGTTCATTGTTTAGTTCTAGTTTTGTACAAAAAACAAAACCATTTATGGTGGGTGAAAACAAAAACTAGAACAAAAAAATTAAGACCAACACCACAAATTAGACCTATTGTTAATGCCAAATCCCGGTATTTTGATGAACACTTGTCAGGAAGAAGATGATCGGAACTATTCAGATAACAGCTCTACTTTCTTCTCCAACATCACCGTTCCCTTAAAAATCGTCAACTGAAGCTCCTTTTGATACTTGGACAACTGAACATTAAACAAAGTTCACAATAGCATCTCTCTTGTTTAGTAATTTTTGGTATAAACGGATCAAAATAGACATGCCAGCTGGAAAAGTTTGAGACTCAAGTTTTTAGGATCAAGTCATTGTGTTCGAATCATTCCAAGATTAAAATAATGACTTTTTGTGTCAAAATAAAAGATTACTCCGGGTGCAGGTTGTTTCGGGTGCAGGTTACTCTGGGTGCTAATTGTTTTGGTTCCGGTTTAATTCAAGTTTAGATCACATCAGACAGGTTTTATGGTCAAATCAAATCAGGTCAGATTTGTGTCTGGGTTAATCGAATTGGGTTTTCAGGTTCAGATCAGAATCGACAGATTTTGATCAAAATAATGACGTTGTGTCAAAATAAAAGATTGACTGTACTTACTTGCTGCTCACTCATCTTAGCAAAGCCAAACTTTTTTGTCCAAATTGACAAAGCTTCGTCCGCAGCTGGGAGCACCAGGTTTTCAACATTCAGAGAACTCAGTAAACTCTCGATACAAGCAAATAATGCCTGGAAATATCCCTAGAACAAAACCAAATAGGCAAATTATGATCAGTTAGCTTTTTTAGCATTAGTATAGCCATCGAGTTTCGAACAGATTGGAAAACTAGCAACGAAAGCAATACATGACAGTGTAACAAAGTTAGGGACCAAGGAGTTTATCTTAAAAGCATTTCAAGGTAGCAAAATTTTGCAATAAGGTGAAGATAACATTGATTGCACTTCAAACAGATTAAAAGAGAAGGATTGAAGTTGATAGCAATGGCATATTCTTTGACCACCCCATTGAAGAACTTACTTTTCCTTGATGTTTTCTACTTGTAGCTACGATAGGCAGCTCGGCAACCTCCCGACCAAATATTCTAAGAAGACCAGCAGATACAACAACAGACCTGCACATGTGCATCATGTATAAATTCATACATAAATAAAGTAATCAACAAGACAAGAACACCAAGGAACTACCCCCAAAAGAATAAAAAGAGAGAGAGAGAGAGAGCACTATACCTCACAAGCAAAACAACACAATACATTCCACCAAACTCTTGTCCGGATATATTTCTCCTAAAAGAAGTTCAAGCACTAACAATCAGATTAAAACAAACCATAACACTAGTAAAATTATTTGTCTTAACAATATCAGTAAAATATAGTTAAGCTGCAAAAATTGTGATAAGATGTCCTATTAACCACATAAATGAACACATCTTCTAGAGAACATCTTTTCTTGAACATAAAGAGAGTTCCAGTTTTTCAAGGCAAAAAGGAAAGATGCAGGGGTAAGAATAAGTACATACCCGTAGACCATGACAGGAATCAAATCACGACCAGATTTTTCTACAATGGGATCAAAACATTCCTGTCAAAAAGTTCAAATGATTTGAGCAGACAGACCGTTTTTATGTACAACTTGAGTAATAAAATACCTGCATGATGATCAACACTCTAAAGGCAGCAAGTATATATATACATAAGAAAATTCAAAAAAAATCCCATTGAAAAAAAGAATACCCCCGAATGTAATCAAATCCGATGAAAAAATTACTTTCTTTGAAATCCTGTCCTCGCCTCAAATGCAATTTTAATAATTTTCATGGATGGATTTTCATGAATTTGATAATTTGATTTGAGAAGAATATTTCATCTTCTGGATCTTAATAGTACTATTAATCAGCAATCGGTAACATGTTCCCAAATATAAAAATATATGTGATCATACTCTGTAAGACCAATAACTTCAACCTCATAATGATTGTATGCTAAAGAATGTTTCAACTGTTTTGATTAAAACTATAGCTGAAATGTTTTAATATAATGTTTCAACTCCAATAACAAATTCCTTTTATATAGTGTTTCAACTCTCAGCATGACTGAAAAACTAGGTTAAAAGTCACATACGTCCTAACAAAAAGACCAGTGACAAAAAGGTAAAAATATCTTGAGCAACTAGTTTAATAGAAATAATAATTTTAATATCAGGAAATGATTACTCGAAATATTGCAGCAGCACTTGAAAGTAATGGAAGATGTTCAGGATAACGGCTTTTCCCACTCAGTATTCTCCATTGACCACAATCTGTGGCTCCATCAATTAATAATCCTTTTTCTAAATACTTTCTTCTGATTATATTTGCAAATGAAGTAGGAATTATCTGTACCCCACAGGAAACATAACTCTGGAGAGACCCATGAATTCTGCTGCAGTCATCACAACAGAACCATTTATCCTCAGGAATTCCCTGTAATATGGATGAAAAACAAAGGTAAACACTTCAACTAGCATGCATATGATAACAATTAATCTGCCAGAGCATTTCAGACTTACTCTCAAATCACATAATCCACTATTCCGCAAGCAACCGACATGGAATTCCTTCTCACACTAAGAAAAAAATTCAAAAATAACTATTAAACCAAAAAAATGCTGGCTTGGATAGAAATAGGATGAGGAAACAACACTTACTTGGTCACAGAGAATAACTGTTCGATCATCAAATGTACAGCCACTAAAGTCATGTCCCCTGAAAAGAATCTCATAACATTAAATTAGCAACATGGAAAAATTGAATCTAAAACCACTAAACACATCGAAATCAAAAAATAAAATGTAGAAAAAAGATACAAAAATCAGAAGCAACAAAAAACATCCTACTAAGAAAGTATGAAGAGATTATTGACTCATATTTGATGGAGCCATGGATAGATTTAATCACATATATTGGTACGAACCTGCAAACAACACAACCACCAATTTCAAATTCTGGTGCTTTAACAACTCTTGTTAATCGTATCACAATTGGTCTTGCTGTACTTGACGCTTCTCCAGAAACAGCTTTTCTACCAGGACCATGTTCATCTGCACAATTTGCACAATGCCATTCACCTTCAGGAAGGTGCTTTAGATTCAAACAAGCTGCAACAAAAAAAAATCAATAGCATTAATGATGAAAGAAAACATTACACCAAAAAGAAAATCCGGTAAAAATAACAGTACCAAATGTATTTTTACAGCTAAAAAGATGCAAAATGATAACTGGTTAAGAGATGCACGTCCGCCATTCATCTTTTGAAAATAATTTGTACAAAGACATTCATGATCATCATTGGCATGAAAGCATAAACGTAACTAGAGCTCCAAAGGCTGACCCGCATGCTACGTCTAGTTAATGAATTGGTCACATGAAGATCATTTGATGCTGGCCACTCAATCAAATTTTTACAACACCAACAATAAATAAAGGAGCTACCTAAACAAGAAATTAAACGAAACACCTAAAAATAGAATAAATTACAGACTTGGATGAAAAGCTCGAGGGCATTCAGAACAAAGAAGCAGATCTCCAGCATCTCCACACACTGCACATGTATCATCACTGGAACCAGTTGTAACACACTGCCCATTTGCTAATGACAACGCTATATCATGAAGCGTCAATCCATTAGATGTATAGATGTGCCGATACCTGTGTAAAGAAAGAAACTTGATAAAGGATTCATAACATTCTAGGAAAGATCACATTCGGTAAAGACCACTTACGGCTGTCTTCTGGTGGCCATTCCGGCATGTGCTTCAAACTGTGAAGGGCTAAGCTGCTCACGCCAAATAAATAAATAAATAACAAAAATCATTAATGGGAGAAGTAGTCTAGCATAACATTGTTAATGAATTAGGAATTCACCTCCCTCTCACAACAGCAACATACTATACCGTTTCCCTGCTTGTAGCCCTCCAGTAACTTCTGAAAAACACATTTAGAGGTCTGGTTAGCGCCACTACTAGGAATAAATTGATGCTACTCAGCCATATTGTATCCAATAAAATTTTGGACCTGTCCTTTGATAAAGTAGGTCAATTCTGCTCCATCTGGAAGTCCATTTGGCATAAAAAGTAACCGGTGTAAATCATTATCCCTGACAACAATTTAAAGAAATTCCAGCTTAAATCAGGCAGATCTAAGATTTGCAAAGAGAGGGAGCACAATATATGCTATAGCATACCTTTTCTTCATGCCACCATCAGTTTTCTTTCGCTTCATGACTGAGTTCGGCCTACTAAAGGTAGAACATCAGTGAAGTGTGCGTAAAAAGAGAACAGTGCTAGTAATAGCCCTCTTTAGGATTTAGTCATCATCATGCAATCTTGTAAATTAGTCTAATAACTTCCCTCCAACAGCTCCCATGAGAACTAAAATTAAAAGGTAAACATGACATCCAAATGCTAGATTCAACTCCACTAAACACCCAGATAAAACCATCAGGGTAGAATCCTTGTCCAAATTGAAAGCCCAGATAATTCAATAAAACCATCCATCATGTTGGAATTCCTAAAATTAAGGACAAAATCTTTACCTTATTTCTAGGAGTTTACCTTTAAAATAGACACTAATCTTAAGTTACTGATTCTTAGGAAGTTACTAATTTTTAGGGATCATTTCCTAGTTTGTACTAATTTCTTTTCTTCAAAGCTGTAAACTATCAAGTATCAACAGAAAATAATATACTAAACAACCTTTCCTTCCTAAGTTTGTTCATGGCATCAGAGCTCTAGGATTCTTTTGGTCCTGCTCCTTCAACTCTGATTTCTCACCTTAAAAATCCCTCCTATTCATTCTTCCTCCCATTGGTGACGAAACTCTATCCGAATCTGGGACTTCACAAGTAACTTAGAATATCAATCAGGTAACCACTCAAGGTGACCTTAATTCCTCCCTTATAATCACCAATCACCATCTAGATGGAAAGAACTTCTTACAATGGTCTCAATCGGTTCTTATGATGATTTGGGGTCGTGGAAAACTAGGATATATCAATGGAGAAATCTCATGACCAACCATAGCAAATCTTACTTATGCTACTTGGGAGCTCAACAACTCAATTGTAATGGCTTGGTTGGTCAACTCAATGGAAAGCCACATAAGTCGTACCTATCTTTTATTCAAGACTGCAAAAGACATGTGCGACGCAGTCAAGGAGAACTACTCCGATCTGGGAAACGCTTCTCGAGTATTTTAAATCAAACTAAATAGGACAAGTTGCTACGAATACTGAATGATTTCGTAAGTTTGGCTTCTTGTTCAGATTGGGTGAAATGGCTCGGCTCTAGCGACGGGCGTTACTCTAGTAAACCTGCTGCTTCTCTCCAGCAATACAATGTTTCAATAGTTTTCGATTGGAAGAATTCAGTTTGGTTGGGAATCGCCCCATATAAGTTGGTGTCCTTTGTGTGGCATGTTCTTCAAAGGAGAGTTCCAGTTAGGGCGGAATTAAGCAAAATGGGGGTCTCGCTTTCTGGTTTGCCTTGTCCATTCTGCCAGTGCATGTTGGAGACTACAGAACACTTATTTTTGCCTGCAAATCGTCTTGGATTGTTTGGGGAGCCTTACTTGCAATGTGGGGCATCTTGACAGCCCTTTCTTCTGACCCCTTCAGCTTTATGTCGATTTGGAGCGAATCTCTCCCATTGAACTTTCACTGCAGGTTTGTGTGGAGTACCCTCCCCTTTGCGATCTTATGGACTATATGGTTACATAGGAATGAAATGGTTTTTACGGGCAAAAAATTAGACATGTTACAATTGATTTTTCTCCTCAAATTCAGAGTTGCTTGCTGGCTAAAAGCTAAATTTCCTACGTCCCCCCTTGAGTTTGGGAGTTCTAGCTGGGGATCTTTCTCATGCAAAGGATTCTCGATTGAGCAAGAAAGTTTTGAACCCTATTCAATTTTGGCTCCCTCCTGCCTCAAGTCTCTTACAATTTAACGTTAACGGAGCTATGCAAGTCGATGGTAGGGAGGGTGGAATAGGTGGTATCCTTCCCACCCATTTTGGTCGCACTCTGGTGACCTTCTCGATTCTAATCGGGGGTGGTTCACCGGTGCAGGCGGAGGTTCTGGCAATTAACTATGCACTGACGCTATTTTTGGATTCCAATTATGGAGTTTTTTAGTTAATTATTGAAAGTGGTTGTGTTGTTGCGGTTAAGTGGATTCAGAATCCGTCCTCTATTTCGGTCGAAATGTCATCTCTCCTTCACCCTGTTGCAGGAATGGTATTACGCGAGCGAGTTTCTATTAATCTTGTCCCCAAAAGCTTTAACACTGCTGCAGATCAGCTGGCCAAACTAGTTGTTGGAAGAACCAGTTCAGAGGTGATATTTAAAGGAGATTGAAGTCGTTGTTAAGGAGAGTTTTATTACCTATAGTGTGGGAGGCCGAGTGAATTTTTTTGCGCAAGCTGTCTTGGTGGTTTTGTGGGGAGGTTTTCCAACTGGGCAGGATTGTTGTGTTTGTTATCTATGTTTTATGCTGTTATTTAGTCCTCAGTTTGGTGTGTATTAAGTTCCTGAGTGAGTCTTATTGATGGTTGTAATTGAGGTTGTTTTTCCTTTTTATTCTCGTTAGAGTATTCTTGCTCTTTGTTTCATTGTTCAGGGCACACTCTTTTTCCTCCATCTTAGAGAGTTTTTTTTAACGAGGCCCCTAGCAATGAGTTTCCCATACTTTAATAAGAGTTTTCCTTTCAAAAAAAAATTAAAGGACATTCAACAGGGGACACTCAAAGTAACCCATTGCTACAACAATTGGAAGATCCTATGGCAGGAACTTGATATGTATTATAAGACGGACTGGGGTGAAGGCTTGGAACACACCAAGTTTATGACACACCTCAACAAGGAAAGAGCCTATGAGTTCCTAGCAAGGTTGAACTGAAAGTTTGATGAATTCTGTGGACGTATTTTGGGCTGAACTCCTCTACCAACAATCGGTGAAGCATTTGCAAAAGTTTGAAGAGAAGAAAATCGTAGTCGAGTCACGGGGACATGAAAAAACCTAAACTTGTGACAACTCTTGGTCACCGTCTTGCTGAAACTTCAACCTTATATCCAGGGGTCCAGAATCCCAGAAAACCCGAGCTGGAAGTGATTCAAGGCCAACCCAACCATGGTGTAGTCACTATAACTGTGCTGATCACACAAAAGAAAAGTGTTTCAAGCTTCATGGCTGTCCTGGAAACACAAAAATATAAGAAGGACAACAAGGCAGCTTTGTTATCCTCTAACACTTCATCCACTACTTCTGATGTTGTCCTAGGTGTTCGCCTAACCAAGTCTCAACTCGAGACTCTCCTTAAGATGCCTGGTTCATCAACTGCTCATGGATCTTTAGCCATTCAGTGTATTGCCCACAATATTACCTCTGAATCTAATAACCAACCCTCCTGGATTCTAGATTCAAATGCATCCGATCACATGACAGGTAATTCCCCTCTATTTCACACCTACACCCCTTGTCACAACCAATCTCGAATCCAAATTGCAGATGGATATTATTCGCCCGTTGCTGGAATTGGAGCAGTACAACTTACCAAGAATTTTTCACTCGAGAAAGTCCTACATGATCCAAAACTATCTTACAACTTTCTTTCAATTAGTAAGCTTACTAAATATGGGAACGTACTTGCTGAATTTTCTGCTATTGGTTGTGTGGTATAGGAACAGAAATCGGGGACGATGATTGGCACTGCTAAGGTTGATGATGGACTCTATGTATGGAATAACGTTAATAAAGACAATATACAAGGAGGATTGGCTCTATCACCTTCAAATGAGGACACTATTATATTATGGCAACGTAGGTTAGGTCATCCAAACTTCTTGTATTTAAAGAAATTGCTTCCTCTGTTATTTCAAAATAAAAATACTAGTTCCTTGAAGTGTGAAATCTACTTATTATCAAGCATACCCCCGTGTACCATACCCATTAAAGCCCTATATCCAATCCCAATCTTTCTCCTTGATACACAGTGACCTATGGGAAGCTAGCCGAGTGAAAAATGTTACGAGGGCTAGGTGGTTTATAACCTATATTGATGAAAAAATCTGAAACACCTAAAATATTCCAAAGTTTTCATTCCATGATTCGAACTCAATTTAACTCCATGCATACACTCCGCATTGATAATGGGAGAGAATACTTCAACTCTATTTTAAGCTCATACCTTTGTGACCAAGGCATTATACACCAATGCTCCACAACAAAACGGAATTTCCAAGAGAAAAAATCAACACCTCCTATTGTTGCTCGAGCCTTAATGTTTACCATGAATGTTCCAAAATACTTGGGAGAGGCAGTCCTCACTGCATGTTACTTAATAAACCAAATGCCATCCAAAGTTCTAAATCTCCAGACACGTCTAGCTTATACATGTGTCTTCATTGGCTATTCTCCGACACAAATGGGTTACAAATGTTATTCACCAACTTTGCGTTGCATGTTTGTCTCTCAGGATGTCACCTTCTTTGAAACCGAATCTTATTTTACAGCATCTCATCTTCAGGGGAGACTCTCAATGAAGATGAAACTCTTAATACCCTCCTTATTATACCCCATGATTCTACTCTCACCATTGCTATCACACAAAAACTAACCACCATGGTGCTCTCATAATTCTCGATTTAGACATTCTTTCCTCACAACAAAAGGAAATTAATTCTTCCTCACAACAAAAGGAAATTAATACAAACCTTCCCAATAGTAACCTTCCCACCGAAAAGCACCAGATCTTTGAATCAGAAAAACAACAACCACAAGCTCTTGAAATTCTTGTGTACTCTTAGTGTCGCTATTATCCTGAAGCAGAAACAGCACTTCCAATTCCATCCCCAATCGAGGACTGCTCTATACCAGAGGTATCCCCTGCTTCATCATCCATTGATGTTCCAATTGCAATTCGAAAAGGCACAAGGAGCTGCACACATCCTATTTCTCGATTTGTATCCTATGGAAATCTATCTAATTCCTACAAGAATTTTGTGGCTAATGTTGATCGTGTAGAGACTCCAAGGAATGTAAAGGAAGCACTTGAATCACCCGAGTGGAGACAAGTTGTGATGGAAGAGATGAATGCTCTCAAAAACAATGGAACATGGGAAGTTTCAAAACTGCCTAAAGGGACAAAAACAATAAAATGCAAATGGGTCATCACAACAAAATTTAAACCTGATGGCAACATCGATCGTTACAAGACTCGTCTTATGGCAAAGGGTTTCACCCGAACCTATGGCCTTGACTACGACGAGACATTTGCTCCAGTTGCCAAACTGAATACCATTCGGGTCCTTCTATCTCTTGTTGTCAACCTTGACTGGCCCTTGACTCAATTCAATGTAAAAAACGCATTCCTCAATGGTCAACTAAACAAGTATATATGAACTTTCCACTTGGGTTTGAAGAAAGTAAGGGTCAAGTATGTAAATTGAAGAAGTCCTTATATGGGTTGAAATAGTCCCCAAGGGCATGGTTCAGTCGATATGCCAAAGCCATAACCAACAGGAGTTATATTCAAGGGCAGGTGGACTACACTATGTTTTACAAACATTCGGGAGAGGGAAAATGCTCTATTATTATCGTTTATATTGACGATATAATCATAACAGGAGATGATTCAAGTGAAATTAAAAGTTTAAAAGAGTTCCTTAGAACAGAATTCGAGCTTAAGGACTTGGGATATCTCAAATACTTCCTTGGAATGGAAGTAGCAAGGTCTCAAACAGGTATTTCTAATTCCCAAAGGAAATATGTTCTCAATTTACTACTGGAAACTGGCATGATTGGGTGCAAGCCAACCGAGACTCCTATGGAGTTTAATTTGAAGCTAGGGATTGATGAGGATGGAGATGGAGAAGAAGTAGACAAGGGGAGAAATGAACGGCTAGTAGGAAAACCCATCTATCTATCACACACTTGTCCTGATATAGCTTTCGATGTAAGTGTCATCAGCCAATACACGCACACTTCGAGGGAAAAACACTTAGAAGCTGCGTACAGAATGTTAAGGTACTTGAAAGGGACTCCTGGTAAAGGTCTACACTTCAAGAAAACAGCCAGCCGTTATGTGGAGATCTACACTGATGCAAATTGGGCAGGTTCAGTAAATGATAGAAGCTTTACAAGTCGCTATTGTAGCTATGTATGGGTAACCTCGTGACATGAAGAAATAAAAAACAACATGAAGAAATAAAAAAAAATCTGTTGTAGCTCGTAGCAGTGCAGAGGCTGAGTATTGAGCGTTATCTCATGGTATATCCGAAGGAATTTGGATACGACTAATGGACGAACTAAAAGTGTCGTATATCAGACCTATGAAGATGTACTGTGACAACTAGGCAACTGTCATTATAGCACATAATCCAGTTCACCACGATCACACCAAATATGTGGAAATATATCGCCATTTTATCAACAACAAAAAAAGTCAACTTAGGAGAAGTGTGCATAACCTACTTACCCATTAAACAATAAGTTGCAAACTTGTTAATTAAGAGCTTGAATAAAGGCATGTTTAAGGTTCTTATTGGCAAGCTGGGTTTGTTAAACATCTACACTCTAGCTTGAGGGGGAGTGTTGGAATTCCTAAAATTAAGGAAAAAATCTTAACCTTATTTCTAGGAGTTTACCTTTAAAATAGACACTAATCTTAAGTAATTGATTCTTAGAAAATATACACTAATCTTAAGTTATTGATTTTTAGGAAGTTGCTGGTTTTTAGGGATCATTTCCTAGTTTGTACTAATTTATTTTCTTTAAAGCTGTAAACTATCAACAGAAAATAATATGCTGAACAACCTTTTCTTCCTAAGTTTGTTCACATCAGACAAGGACCTATAGAAAAATTAACAGTTGAAACAAGCAAAGATTATAGAAATAGAAATCACAAGAACTTCATATTTACCTTGTAGAACTAGGCAAACTAGGAGGTTTCACGTTATATATCTTCTCTGCCTGAACATTTAAGTTACTTTGCTGAAGACTAGCTGCAGAATATAACAGCATGTTAAAACATCGAACAATAGAAAAAGTAAAATGTGGCCCTATACTGGCAAGGTATAAAATAAGGTTTTTCTTGAAGAAGTTTGACAGTATTGCAACTATATATCTGGAATATTATATTTGATTTGATATCTAACTCTTAAAATTCATCATGTCTTCCAACACAATGAAATTGCTAGAAGGAAAGAGAATCAAGACTTAATGCAAAACTACACATGAGAGAGCAGAAGAATCTGAATTTATTTACTCTTGCATGTGCTGCTTGAGTAGGAAATTTTTCATTTTCTCAAACTTCAGAAACGCCAACCAATTCTGATGGCAGTTACCTCAAATGTAATTGACACCCTTTGATAGAATTTATATCAATTCTCTTGTTTCTCATTTGATTAATTTCTATAATTATGACATCATAAATTTCCATGTAAATTCACAAGCATCGGATGTATTTGTGTAAGCTACTAATTACAGTTAACTTTGAGTCTTTGAATTTATAAGATTTTAACATAACATCATTTAAAATAAATTATATATATTCCTATGTTATTCAATGAGAATACTACTAAAGATTTTATCAAACATTTTCAAAGTATCTAAACCTCCAAAACATGTATTAATTATAAGTTGTTTCTATATGATTCAATTGTTTTTGAGTTGATTTTTCTTGAAAGATGAAATTGTATTTTATCGTATTATTATTGAAAATCTTGCAAAATATTTTCAAATCTTTTAAAATCTCCAAAACATGTGTTCTAAATTGGTTTACATGTTTTTAAATGTTTTTAAATGTTTTTGAGTTGATTCAAAATATTTTTCAAAGTACTTGAAAAACAAATTTCTATTTCTAAGTCATTCTGTTGGACTTATCTTTAAACATTTTTTCAAGTGTTGCACATGCTCAAAAACATGTTCTATAATGATCCTTCAATAATAATTTTTTGAGTTTGAACAAAATGATTTTGATAATCTTTCAAATGAGTTTCTAACATGTACTTACTCAATGGAACAAATAGAAATATTTCACACATTGAAATAGAGTATTGTACAATCCAAGAAGAAAAGGATCAATCCATTGGAAGACAGAGCCTTAGTTTAGTCATTCAAAGGATAGACCCCTTTGAGAAAGGATCGATCCTTTTACACTACACAACAGTTAGTTTTTCAAATTCAAAGGATAGGTCCCTTCCCAAAAGGCCTAGAAAAGTTGGTTTTCCACCTCCAAATGGCTACAAACATCCTACAACGACTATAAACAGCTACAAACCCATTCCTAACTATAAATACACATCAAGAACACTCCAAGTAAGATATGAACATCCAAGGAACAAATCAAGGAAAAATACATTAATTCTTCAATTCGTCACTTCTCTTGTACATATTTCTTATTTGTGCTTCATTTGTATATATTTTATTCATTCTTTTGTGAGCTTTCAATTTGTAAATACCCACTTAGAGAGGTATTCTTTGCTTACACAAATTCAATCTTGAAAGAGAGATGTTTTATTTAGCCTTAAAAAAATTAGAGTGATTCTATCTTAGTCATTGTAAAAAAAAGGTAGAAAGGTTTCTATCTAACCTTGAATAGATAGTATTGTGAAGTGTAGAATTTCGATGAAGAGGAAAACTCCACTTATATTATTATGCGGCAAAACACAGCCTTAAATAGGTTGCGAATATTTACATAAACTAGGATCCCAAGACTACCAGGTTTCTTGTTTCATAAGACTCTTATGTTATCTCCTAAGAGAGTTCTAACTAAAATAAAACTTGTCCTTAAAAAAAGCAGAAAAGAAAACAACTCCTAGTAAAACTTTAAATTCCAACCGGTAGAAAAGAGAGCCCTAATCGATTTCTTTCTACATAAAGGTTAAACCTTTACCTTGAAAGGTTCAAATCAAGTTGGTGAGTTGAAAAAATCCTTAGTGGTGGAAAGCTAAGGTAGTGAGGTAGACATTCGAAGTGTCAAACCACAATAAATAGATCATGTTCATTTTCTATCCTTCTTATCAATTTAGCCAAAAACAAGAATGAATTTGTGTAAGCCCTAATTCACCTTACTTTTGGAAATAGTCGAGCTAACAAATACAAGTAGAAATCTGGTCCTAGATATTTCTCTTAATGATTTTATGTTCCATTTGAATAATTAGATATGGAATCCTAAGACCCCAAATAAATTTTCCTATAACATGGGAAGTAACCTCAAGCAAAATGGCAGTCCTATTACTGAATTCTCATCTTTTTTTTTCTTAGTTTCAAAAATTTTGACCATGTATCAAATCAGCTGTATCTTGAAACCAAAAAATTATAAATCTATTAAATACTAAAAAGGGCCCAATAACAGATGGTACATGATCTATATACAACCAACATAAACCCAATCAAAGCATGAAAACAGAAATTACCTTTCCAATCCTGGAAGGACTCCTCGTTTATAGATGTACCAGCTACATTTTTTATAACTGCATCCAGAATGCTGAGTGGAGCAGTCTTTAGTTCTTGAATAATACTATATATTGGCTTCCCATTCTCCAAGTATATGTGATTATTTGGATGCCTAGTTTTCGCACCAGCATGCTGCTCAAACTCATAGGCACTTAGCACCTACTCACACCCAAGACAACCTTCAGCTAACATAATACATCCTTAACTAAGCACTTACAGAAAAAATAACAGTAGTAACAGGAGCAGTTGAATTACTTACTTTGGATAAATTACAAAATGAGCATCCACACAAATATCCACACAAAATTTAAATAAGCGCGAAAGATTTGGGTTAGGTTTTTTATTATTTATGAAAGAGAGAGAGAAAGGAGGGAACGCTGAGGGCGGCAACAAACAAGAAGAGAAAGAAAGCTTAGTTCGCGGTCCAGATTTAACTTTTCAACAAGGAAGAGAAGATAGGGAGAGAAAATAAATCTAATTCAAATTGTTCAATAGTAATATTTGGGTTTAACTTCGATTTTAGTCCCTTTATAATGCTGAAATTTAAGATTTAAATGTAATTTTAATTTGACAAAATTTATTTCTTTATTTTCATGATATTATTACTATGTTCAAAATCAATAATATGGATTCCCACTGCAATTGAAATGATAATGTGGGATTTATTTTACAATAATCTTACATATTTATTTGACTGTAATTTGTGGTTAAACATATTTGATTGAATTTTCATGTAATTCTTAATTTATAATTGAATAATAGTAGAAAAATCGTACGAACTAAGCAATAATAGTAGAAAAATCGTATGAACCAAGCAGCCTTGTGGTTAAGGAATTTATTGTTATCATGGAGTTCTTAAGTTTAAAGATAACAATTAAAGATAAAATTATATGAGCAAAATATTTCAAATTAAAGTAGAAACTTAAATCTGAAATTTCAACATTTTTTACGGACTAAAATTGTATTAGACCTATTTTTATTTTGGCTTAATACTAAAATAAGTGTTCAAACTGAATTGTTTTTCCAAATAAGTGCCTAAATTATTTTTTAACTCATCTATTTGCCTAACGTTACAAGCGTTACTATTTTAAGTACATCGACTGTAACAGTCGTTATAAAACTCCGTTAAATGAAACGTGACACAATCTTAATATTTTTTTCTTAAAAAAATATTATTAAAAACCCCAACATACGTACATCTCCCCTTCCCTCCCCTTTTGTGATTTCAGTTTCTGTGGTCAAATGGCCAAAATTCAAACGGCCGACCAAATGGCAAAGGGGTCGGCAGTCATAGTTGAATAAACGATCAAATACGACGATCAACCAAAGGGATTTAAGGGATTATGTATTTTGAATTTTAGGGATTAAAGATTGAAATCTATGGAGTTGGAAATTTTTGGCTTTGAGATGATAGCAAGGGATATGATCGGTCAGTGAGTGGTCAGTGGTATATGGATGGTTGGTCGTTGATGGATAGGTGGCGAGAGATGACCGACAATTGAAATAAGGGACTAGAATAAAAGATTTAGGGAGTTTGTGTTTTTATATGTTTTAGAAAAAGTTTGGGAGTTTTTCAAAAATAAAATATTTTTAAGTTTTTTTTAAAATAAATGTTTAAAATTATCAAATTATGACACATATCACTTAATGAACTTTTTTAACAACCGTAAGAATTAAGTCATCTAAAATAATAATATTTATAACATTAAACATATGTATAAATCAAAAAATAATTTAAACACTAGTTTAAACATGTACTAAGACTTTTATTTTAATTTTTAAAGGGAAATTGAAAATGTCGTTGAGGATATTTTATTTTGGAAGGAATTAGAAGACAAGTTGGGTGTCTGGTGGAACCCACGGGTAAAGGGATCATATAAAAAGAAATCACGTGGGTTAACTCGAAAAGTGACGTGAACACATGAGACAACTTAGAATTATTTTTACTCCAAGGCTTAATTCCCCATTATTATTGTTATTGTTGGGCCTGCCCAAATGAAGTTTTCCTTTATATGTTTGAATCCAAGTGTTAGTTTTGGGCCTTCATTTTAGATCAGGGTGGTAACGATTTGTTTATGATGGTGAGATTAAGGGCGTAAATGAATAGAGTATTTGGTGAATTATTTATAAATTTTTTATGTTGTATTCATTTTTTAAACTAAATAAATGAGTATGAATAAAATTTTATGTTCAATTAATAAACAAACGAACATGAACTAAGGTGTATTTGATTCATTTATATTTACAAGCAATCTTGTTTATTGAATCGTTCATTTATGTTCGTGAAACAATCTTATTTAATGGTTTGTTTATAAGATCGTATATCGACCCACTCATTTATGTTCATGAACAAGCTCGTTTAATGGTTCGTTTATAAGATGTTTACTTTTTATTTTTTTTACATCTTAAATATTGATGAATGTATGGACAACATAAACATGTTCACAAACATATAAACAAACACTAAACAAACATATAAACGAATGTTAAACGAACATGTTCGCAAACGTTAAACAAATGAACATGAACACCTTCAAAAATAAATAAACGAACACGAACACAATATTAAAAATTTAAACGAACCGAGCACAAACATTTTTAAAAATAAATAAACGAACATATACACAATCTTACTCATTTAAGCTTGATTCATTTATACCCTAATCGATGCATGATGTAAAGATAGATGGCAATTATATTCAAATGATCGGAGATAGTTTCATTTTATTTAGAGCTCAGTTTAAAAAAATTCAAGTACATATGATTTTTCACGTCAACATTGCTAAACTTAAACACCATTTTGAGAAGTTAATTTATAATAGTTCAATTATATTCAATACTATGTTATATATCTTCTTTTTATAAATATGAGGTAAACACAGTGTGGTATATATTTTGAAACGTCTAAAAATGAATGCTTGTATTTCTATATATATCATGTTTGAATTCAAGACCTCAATAGATAATAATAAATCCTTTAATCAGACATGTCTATATGTAGCATGTTTTTGGGACCTCACACTTTGAAAAAATATCATGATTTTGGTTTTAAGAACGTTTAGAGGATGACACTTTTTAAATAAAATGTCATACTTTTATAATTATTTTTGACATTGTCTTAGTTTCTTATGTTTGAAATTTTTTATTTCATAAGAAACAACCGTAATACGATAACTTTTGATATTTTACGATTTTATTTTATTGTAAAATATTTTAAGTGATTCATTTTACAAAATAATATAAAACCTACTTATATTTTGAGACGAATATACTTTTAATCACTAAAATTGTTTAATTCGAAATTGATATGTGTTTGTATTTCATTTTGGGTCCATTAGACCAAATATCTGATCTTAAAAGAAAACGATTATCAACCCTAGGTGGACCCTTCAACCAAAGACCGAAATGAAACGCATTTGAGAAGTATGAACAAGAAAAACGTTTTTGGTTGTGGGCACCAAATTAAAAAAAAATACATATATGTATCCTTATTAAATGATATAGTAATATATTTGGTAAGTAATTTTATAGTATATCTAAAATTATACTCAATTAATTTATGGTCAAAAAATAATATCAGCATATTATAAAGGGATAAAACATATTTTAGCCCCTAAACTCGGTAATATTTCTTAGTTGGTCCTTATATTTTTTAGTCTACATTAGTCCACGTATTTGGATTTTTATTCATTTTGATGATGTATCACTTTGAGAATAATGGTGAGCATTTGACCAAATCAAGTCAAAATATTTTGAGTAATCGAGTTAATAAATTTTATTTCTCAATCTTAATTCATTTTTTTTCTTTTGGATTGATTTGAATTTAATAAAATTTGAATTAAATTAAATCGAATATTATACTAGAGTTAATTTTTATGTAAAATTTTACTTACATAGGTAAACCCCAAAGGCATATATGCATGTCTTATGCACTCGTAGTATTTGTTGATGTCAATATAAGATTAGAGTTTGATTTTTAGAAATGTAGATTTGATTTTTTTTTTCTTTTGTTGTGTGAAATCATGAAATAAAATTAGAAACTCAATAAAGTCTAAACTAGAAAGAAAAGATAGAAAAATGAACTTAAAACACAGAATGACGTCATTTCATTTAATAAAGTCACTTTGCTAATCGATTTAATTGAGAATTTCAACTTGACTTAAACTTAAAAAATCGAATATTAATTTAATTAGATTCAAAAACTCAATTTTTAGTTTTTTCAATCAAACCGAGTTTTACTCATTCTTGTATAGGAGAGTGTACCAAAATGACTAAAAATAGAAATGATTACCAAGTTTAAGGGCCAATGAGACAAAATAATATCGAGAGTCCATGTTGAAAAATTTACAAAAATGCAAGGACTAAAAAGTGTTTTTATACTTATCAAAGAGGACCACTTTTATTTTAACCGTGTTAATTTTCTTTATAAATACAAATATAGTTGATATTGGAACTATAGTACAAGCAATATATCAAAGCTTTATTGATTTTTCCTCTCTTCTTCCCGTTGTCTTTGCAGTGAAAATGTCTCAAAGACCCAATCGTCACCAAAGGAGGCCATCGCAGTTCGTTTTTGGATCCTTCGACGACATTATGGCTCCCATATCTGATAATGCGTCGGAGAATAAGCCTGCTGCTGGTGCTGCTCCACCTACTCCTAAGGCGGTTCATGTCCCCACTCCTCCACCTACTGGGGCGGCACTGGCGGGGCCATCTGCTAATGCAGCCAAAGACACCGAGAAGCCATCAAATGCTAAAGCTTGATGCATTGCTGTTTGCTTGATTCAGTTTATGTTATGTTTTATCCTTTTTAATGCATGAAAAAACGAAGCTAAGTTCTTCTGTTTGGTAATAAAAATCATTAGCACTTAGCAATGACTTTATCAATAAAGTTTGCTTCTCGAGCATCATAACAATTTTAGCGTAATATTTGTTTTTCATTTACTTATTGTCTTTCTAACTGTAGTTTACATACGTTGAATTCAACATTAGATTATATATACTTTAATCAGATATATCGATCCACTGGATTTATCATATTACCAAGGCTGCTTTTATTTATTTTTTAATTATTATAAATGTTGTAATTATCCCTTGCATAATTCAACAAAAATAATAATTAAAAAATAAATAAAAGCAGCCTAAAGCAGCCGGCTGCTATTTGATTTTTCAACAATCTCCCACTTGAAGATTTGATTGGAACAATCATATCTTCACATCATTCTTTCTACCTTGTACCTTCATGTTGCTTACGTCTCTGATAGGCCACAAGAGGATCGACACCAAGTAAATTTGTCGGCATTGATCGCCTTCGTCATGAAATCTGCTATGTTGTCTTTGGTATGGATCTTCTGTATATCTACTGTCCCTTCTTCCACCTTTTCACGAAAGAAATGGTATTGAACTCGTATGTGCTTTGTCCTTGAATGAAATGCTGGATTCCTTGCTAAATGCAAGGCGCTTTGACTGTCACAAAATAGAGAGACATACTCTTGATTGTGCCCAAGCTCCTCCAATAGCATCTTCAACCAAATTGCTTCTTTACTGGCTTGTGTAGCTGCTACATATTCTGCCTCTGTTGTGGATGTAGCCACAACTGAATGTAATTTTGAAACCCAGCTTACAGCTCCACCAGCAATTTTGAACACATATCCTGTTGTAGATTTGCTTTTATCCAAATCCCCTGCATAGTCAGAATCTACATAACCATTTATTAGTAAGTTTGTTCCTCCGTAACATAATGCAACATTTGAGGTCCCTTTGATGTATCTCAGGATCCTCTTTACTGTATTCCAATGCTCTTTGCCTGGATTCGCCATGTACCGACTAACCACTCCCACTACTTGTTACAGATTTACTTGTCTGTCTTCCTTGTTCTTGCGCCGATTTTCTTCTTGTAGAACAACAGCTGCAACGTCATCGAAGACTAGATTGGTGACATTACTATTTGTCAAGTTGATGATGAGTTGATCATACGAATCCGGTAGACTTTGAAGTAGAAGTTCAGCACGTTCTTGTTCTCCTATTTTACAGCTTAAGGATGTAAGCTGAGAAAATAGCGTGTTCAGTGTGTTTAAGTGCTCCGTCACTGAAGTAGATTCTGACATCCGGAGAGTATACAATTTCCTCTTAAGGAAAATTTTATTGTGCAACGATGTGGCCTCGTACAATTTGGTGAGATGATCCCATATCTCCTTAGCTGTCTTCTTCTCCTCGATGCTTGACAATACTTCATCTGCTAATGCTAGATGAAAGTTTGCCATAGCATTCCCGTCCATCTCGTTCCATTTGCTGTCATCTGCGAAATCCACCGGCCTTTCACTGATAGCCGCTAGACACCCGTCTTTTCTCAGGATGGCCTTCATCTTCAATTTCCACAATGAGAAATTTCTCCCATTGAATTTTTCAATATCAAATTTCGTTGCCATAGCTTCTATTACGGATAGCTCCACTATTTCACTATCGTGAATAGTTCTCTAGAACCTCAAAGAATGGGTAATAACTTCTTACTTTCTTATGTTGGAGGATCCACCTTTTGGTGGCAACCACAAAGACAATAAGCAGATATTACACACTCAAATCTGGTTCGGATACCAATTGTTGTGTTATGTTACGGAGGATCAAACTTACTAATAAATGGTTATGTAGATTCTGACTATGCAGTGGATTTGGATAAAAGCAAATCTACAACAGGATATGTGTTCAAAATTGCTGGTGGAGCTGTAAGCTGGGTTTCAAAATTACAGTCAGTTGTGGCTACATCCACAACAGAGGCAGACATATAAATCTCTTCTTCAAGATTTCCATGAAGAAAAGTTGTTTTAACATCTAGCTGCTCTAGATGTAAGTTCAATGTAGCACACATTGCCAAAACTACTCGAACTGTTGTTAGTCAAACCACAGGAGAAAATATTTCATTGAAATCAATACATTCTTTCTGAGCATATCCTTTGACCACTAGTCTTGCACGATACCTCGCCACTTGATCGTCACCATTTCTCTTGATTTTGAAGACCCATTTGTTACCAATTGGCTTCCTTCCTTGTGGTAGTGGCACAAGGTCCCATGTATTATTTTTATGAAGGGCTTCAATTTCCTCTTGCATCGCCATCATCCATAGTGAAGCATCTGAGCTGTTTATTGCCTCTTGGTATGTTGATGGCTCACCGTCCTCTGTTAAAAGGCAGTATGCAATATTACCTTCTATAACATAATCTGAGTGCCAATTGGGACGTCTTCTCACACGATCTGAATGACGAGTTGTTGGAGTTTCAGAACACTCTGGTTCTTGTTCATCATGTGCTGGTTCTGCTTCAGAAGAATCTCCTTGTTCAACCTCCTTTTCCACATGTATATGTGTAGTCTCTGACTTTTCAGCGCTATCATCGTATTCTTTTCTTTGTAGCTTATCTTCTACAAAGATAACATCCCTGCTAATGA